ATTATGTATATTCATGTATTTTAGTATTTTTTAATATATAAATTGATTTTAAATAAATATTTAATTTATATATAATTTCTTATTTTAAATAATTAAAACACATTATAATTTATCAAAAAGGTTATCAAAATCAACCTCAATTGTTAATGATATCAATTATTAACATTCTATAAAACAACTACAATAACTTTGACAAAGAATCCTCACAAAAAAAGGATACAATAGTATTGGAAATATGGATCTCATCTTCTTTTGACCAAATCTGATTGATTTATATATTTTATAGTGTTATAAAACTGAAAACACTATAAAATTTTACAATTTAGGATTACAAAAGCAAATTACTAAGAATTCAATAATTTTAGTTATATAGTTGAATTTTGTTGTAGACAACAAAATCATATTCATAATCAACCTAACATAAAATGAAATTTACATAAAATTATAGATTTTATTAAAACTGATCCATCAAATCCCGTCCGTAGGGCGGGTCTACCCTAGTTAAATATATAACATAACATATATGACTTTACAGCCAATTTGAGACTCGAGTCGAGGAAGCAATACCTGGTATATCGACAACTGAGTTAGACAAAAGGAAATATCAACACTTTATCAAGTGGTTGAGGAAACATGTATTTATTTATACTTAAATTGTATGCATAAATTACCACAAAGTAAGTCTAATGTCTAGTTATATTACTTTTTGTTGCAGGTTGATTATGACGATCATGAGTATCCCGCATAGTTTCGCGAATTACTTCAAGGTCCAGTTGCAAAGGTCACTACAATATCGATGTATTTCACCCGAGGCTATACTTTTCATACCTATGACTATGGTAGACACCGAGCGACAAGTAATTATGGAATATGTGAAAGGCGAAACAGATTTCTACGGGATCTTGCAGGAGATTTATGAAGTTCGATTCCCAGGTATGAGTTTAAAATGCGTTATCTTCAAATGTGAGTGGTACGACCCCGTCGTCAACAGAGGTGTTCGGATTAAAAAAAACAGTGTAGTTGATGTCAAAGGTGGGCGAAGGTACAACAAATTCTTTTTTTTTAATATCAAGGTTTCCAGTATCAATTAATTTTTATATTCTTTATTTTCGTAGGTACAACAAGTTCGAGCCTTTCATATTAGCTTCCCAAGCAGATCAAGTTTGCTTCATTCCGTACCCTCAGATTACTACCTCGGGAATAAACTGGTTAGCTGTTATCAAAGTTACACTCGAGGACGAATAATCGCTGGAGAAGAACCACCATTACAAGAAGAAAACACCGATGAGACCGAGGAAGCTGAAGCAGAAATTGATGAGTTCCTACTCATTGATCCGCATAATCGTGAATACGAAGCTGTTCCTGATCACTCAACGGACGAAGGTGTAGACGACGAGTTTTTAGAAAATGATGATGTCTCAACAGATTACGACAATGTATCCGAATGAATTATGTATGTTTATAAGTTTGTTTAATCACAAAAATGAATTTGGATTATATATGTTTTAAGTTTGTTTAATCACAAAAGCAATTTGCATTTGGGGTTTGGGTTTTATGTGTAGAAGAGGTTAGGAGTTTGGTTGTAGAAGAGATTATAAGTTAAGGAAGTTGTGGTTTGGGGTTTGGGGTTTCGAGTTTAGGGATTTATAAACTCTTTCCTCGTAAAGCCCTAGTAATAGAAAACGCGGGCATAGTCGTTTCCTCGTAAATTTCTAGTAACGGTATTACTAGGACTTTACGAGGAAAAAAATGCGGGCATAGCTATTTCCTCGTAAAGCATTTTCCTCATAAGGTCCTAGTAATACCATTACTAGGACCTTACGAGGAAATAAAAACACGGGCATAGATATTTCCTCGTAAAGCCCTAGTAATGTTACTAAGGCTTTACGCGGAAACAAAATTCCTTATATAAACTCGAGCAATCCGATTTCTCATTTTGTAGTAAACTTCTCTCAGAATCCTCTAAAGGTTCTCTCTAATTCGTAGTTAGGTGATTAGATTAGGGAATTTAGATTAGGTGGTTAGTTTAGAGAATTTAGATTAGCTGGTTAGTTTAGGGAATTTAGATTAGGTGGTTAGTTTAGGTAATTTTGATTAGGTTGGTTTACTTTTTTTAACTGTTTTTTTTAATTATACGGAAATTAATGTTTTGATTTTTTTTAAAAAAATATAGATGCCTAGACAGAGCAAGATTGCTAGGGCTGCTAGTAAGAGGACGTCGTCTCTTCAGGGGAGTCACTACGGAGATATTTTTGGGCGTCAGGATGCTCCGGGTTCATCTTCGTCAGCTCCCGGTTCATCTTCGATTCCGGATCGTGACTCTGTTCCCGAGACTCAGGGAGCTTCTACGGCGTCCCGGAAACCTCCTCCTCCTCCTCCTCCACTGGTGGGGGTTCATCCCGATTTGCAGGTGCCGCCGAACGCACCCTTTTCGGTGAACACGGTGGAGGATATTTTGGCCCTTCCAGGCAGAGAAGGACTGCCAGAGTTAGATCATATCCGACGGGACGGCCAAAACGTATTATGGTATGTTTTAATTTTTACAAAGTTTTTTTAATTTATTTCTTAATTAAAAAATACTTACAAATTAATCTAATTAATGATTTACTTTGTGTCTTTCCAGGTTTGATCTTGACAATTGTGTCGCAACTAGCGTCACGGACTGTATCAAGGGATACTTTCCCGATGCAGCTCCAAACTGGAAGAAGACGGCGAGCCACACAAAAAAGACGTGGTTCAAATCGTTCGTTGTAATTTTAATAAATGATCAACTTAATTTATTTTTAATTATTTAAAATTATTAATATTATTGAACTAATCCGTCTCTTATTTTTTCTGGTTACAGCAAAAATATCGTTGGTCTATTGGGATTCACCAGCGGGTGAAGAAGGAGTTTGAGGGCAAGAGCACGATTGCTCGACATGGTCTACAACTGGAAGGGCGACTTTCAGGTATATATTTATAAATTATAATATATATTTATAGTTTTAAAAATATTATTGACTTTAATTCTAATTATTTTAAATCAGGTGGATGGTTACGAGGACGGGAACCCCGATTGCCTCACAAGCACGGTGTGGGATGGCCTCATCAGCTATTGGGGGTTGCCGGACTCGGTCAGAACCTCCCACACAAACTCCGGGAACCGCATGACCAGAGACGAGCATGGCAACACGAAGATGCTTCACACCACGGATCGAAAACCTCACGGGAGAGTTCGTCTAGACACGGTAAGATGTTTTTAATAACTATTTAATTTTTATTTTATTTGAATATTCCAGATTAATATTTAATTTTAAAAATTATTTTTAGGCTAAAGAGACAGGAGTTCTTCCATCTCTGAAAGACCTTTACGAGAGGATCCACCGGAACAAGGCTGGGCAGTTTGTAGATCCTGCTTCCGAGCGGATCTACAACGAGGTTGTTGCCCGAGTTGACGAACGCCAGACCCAGCTGATTCAGAAGACTGGGACTCCAGTCATATTATCCACTCTTGAAGTGGATAAGATTTACGAGGAGGTAAATAATTTGTTTTACTATTTAATTTTATTATTTATTTAAATTTTTTCTTAATGTTAATTAATATTTTTATTTACAGGTCGCCCCTAGGAAAAAGGGGCGTATCGTCGGTTAACGATGTCCCTGTAGCGACATCGTCTTATGCTCAGGAGCAGCACGATGTCATTGCTCAGCTGCGCTCGGAGTTGCAGGTGACGCAGTCTCATGTGAGTTCGCTCACCGAGCATGTGACTTCTCTCACCGATGTCCTCGACATTTTGGCGGTTGAAAACCCGCAATTGGAGGAGATGTTGCGTCAGAGACGGGAACGCGGAGGGCTTCCAACCCAACAGCATCCACCATCACAGTCACAACCGGCAACCAACTTTGGAGAGGAGCAGGATTTGGCGAGCTAGGACGAGTTCGTTCGGCAATTTCACGACCAGCATCCGTAGTTTTTTTTTTTATTTTTAATTTGTATATTATGAATTTTAAAACTTAATTGTATATTATTTAGTTATTTATAAAAAAAATTTTATTTTTTTTGATAATTTGATTTATTTTATTTTTTAAAAATAAATTATTTATATTTGTAATTAATTTTTTTTAATAGGGAAAAAATATTTCGAAGCAAAATCCTCGTAAAAGTTTCCAAGTAATGTCCTCGTAAATAATTCTAGTAAGTTCCTCGTAATGAATTACTACGAGCTTACGAGGAAAAGCTTACTACGAGCTTACGAGGAAACCCTACGAGGACCTTACGAGGAAAAGCTAACCACGCCTTTACGAGGAAAAGCTAACCACGCCTTTACGAGGAAAAGCTAACCACGCCTTTACGAGGAAAAGTTTCCTCGTAATTTAGCTAGGACCTTACGAGGAAAAAGGCTTTACGATGAACGTGTTTTGACGAAACGCGTTTCCTCGTAAGTTCCTAATAAATGGTCATTTATTAGGAAATAACGAGGAAAACCCGTCTTAGTAATGGACGAGTTTTCTTATAGTGATTGTCATGTAGATATATATCCATTACTTAGAGTCAATTTCAATACTCTTAAAAAATTTAATTATATTTTTAAAGATTAGTTAGAATCTTTCCATAAATCTGAACTATTCAAATTAATCCAAAAAAATATTTACATCTACAACGGTTAGTGAAATCAAAGAACGCAAAAGAAAACGCAAAATAATTTAACACGTGCTGCCATCTGTTTTTTTTTCTTAAACACTGGTTAATCATGCATTACAAACTATGAAAATATTATAATTCGCCATTCATATTTTACTGAGAATTGAAACTCTCTTGGTATAAAAAAGGGTAGCATGGAATTTGAACCCTTAACCACTAAAACACGGTGCTTACACGCTGTCATGTGTGTTTAGTGGCCTTATAAGTTTGCAACGTAGACATATGCAAAAGATGAAACGACGACAATTCGAAAATTTCAGATAGAACAAAATCATTCATAAGCAAAATTAAGAAATTGTTTCTCTGATTGATGAATATGGAGGCTATGCAACTAACGAGCAAGGCTTCTTGCGATCTCTTTAGAGCTTTCCCTAAGAACCGAGCTCCTCCAAGAACTCTTGTGGTGGTGATTGGTTGAAAAAACTCTGTCTCATTTTTGCCTCATCGGTTGATAACAATTCGAAGGTAATTTATCGCATATATACATATAAAACAAATCTATGCATCATCGTGTTTAAGCGTGTGTGTATATTTAACTAGTTACTAATTTCCATTTTCAGTAATATTTTGTTAAAATAATTTTTATTATATGTAAGTTGTGTGATATGTAATTTTCTATAAAGTTTTGTATGTATTTATATATTGGAAATCTGAAGAAATCTTTTTAAAATTTTAGATTATCAATTTTTTTTAATACATGGATTACGCAAAACAGTAAGGTTAACTTGTGGCACAAGAAATTAAGTTTTCTATTTTTTTTAAAAAAAATGGATATACTTACAAGAAATCAAGTTGAAATGGTTGATCAGTTGCTATGATTTTTTTTTAAGATTTACGCAAGGCAAGACTTATCGATAGTAACACAAAGTGGTATTACGTTAACGTGTCGCCATGACAATGTTCAAGTGAAATTAACTTGCCAGAATGATTGATCTTATTTTTCAGGGGAGAAACAATCCGGTCGAGATAGCGAGAGACTCAAGGGCTGATTTGGCAAATGATTCAAGGAAATGGAGAGAAGAATCTGGCGAAAACTTAGAGGCTTGCAATGAGCAAGCCAAGGACAAAGCTTATGATATGAAAGACAGGACGAAAGAAAACGCTAGGCACAAAGCTTAGGATGTGAAAGAGAAGACGGAAGAGACTAAGAATAAAGTGAATGAAGGAGCGAGTAGAGTAGCTGATAAAGCTTACGAAACAAAAGAGAAGGCGAAGGAAAAAGCTGTTGAGAAATCACCCAATATTATTTGTGAGATGAAGATGGGATTTAGACAACTAAGAAATTTAAGAAGAAAACGTTTTCTCTTTTAGAAAGGGATTTACTACAAATGCTTGTTTTTAAGAACTCTTTCTCTTACAAATGTGTTTCTTCTTGATTCTAGATGGTTATAAATGGTGCTAAGCACCCCTATTTATACAAGTGAAAGAGCAACCTCTAACATGTTCTTGATTTCTCTAAATTATTATCTTAATCCAAAATATCTAGCATTAATTATTCTACTCCATAACTTTCTCTCTTTTTCTCCATACTTCTAGAGAATTCTTTCTCCTTATACTTCTCTTTTGGGCTTTCAACATGGATCATAATTTTGGGTTTGGCTAATGGAGGAAAATCCAACAAAAACTTATGATGCGAAAGAGAAGACCAAAGGTTATGCGGAAGAGACCAAGGATAAAGTGAATGAAGGAGCAAGCAGAGCAGCTGAAGGGCATCCACAACCCTGTACCCCATAAAAATCCTTAAGAAAAAGTGTTTTCTATTTTTTTAATTACTTAAAAAAAAAAAAAAAGCTAACCAATCGTGGGCCGCCACGTATTAATGGGCCCATGAATAGTTAACAGACTCCACCACATGGAATTCTTACAGAAGGAATTTAACGGCTTAAATCTGCACAGAAACCTAAAAACGATGGATCCCATATGTTTTTATATTAATTTTTTTTTTAAGGATTGGAGTTATGTCCCTCCGTTGGACGTGCTCTGATAAAGCTTACTAGACTAAAGAGAAGGCCAGGGACAAAGCCTATGATGTGAAAGAGAAGACCAAAAATAAAGTGGAAGAGACTAAAGTTAGAGCCAAGGAATATGCAGAGGATTCAAATGAGAGAGCAGAGGATATGGCTCATGGGTTTAAGGAAAATGCTCAAGATGTTGCGGAGAAGACTATTGAAACCGTGAAAGATGCGTGGGAGACGGCTAAGAGCACAATTCAGAAGGTTACAGTTACAGAGGCGGTGGTTGGGTCTGGTGAGGAGGCGGAAAGGGCACGGGATGATGCCGATAAGGGTGGGGAAGATTTGTCAAAAAAGGCCAAGGAAAATTGGAAAGACGATGATGATGATCTAAAGGGGCTCTAAGTTCATCAATATATATTATATATTTTACTAGTCAAAAGTTTTCCTCTTTGTGTTTAAAGTTTTTTGTTTTAGAACTTCGACATCAAGTTTTCAGACTTCTTACAGTCGGTCTTGTAGGTTTGAGATAGACTTGTAAAGAAAATCATGTGATCGTCAGAGACCAAGTCTAAATCTTACGTCATAGGTTAAGGGGTCGTGAATAAGAGAATAATATTTGACTGTTAATACATATTTACTTCACACCCATGTAAAGAAACTTCAAGTGTGGCTGGTTCTGTTGGTCTTCGCCTCTAAGATTCAAGAGAAATATAGAGCTCTAAATTCTTAAATATTTCTTTTCACTAAAACCAAATGTCTATGACTCCCTAAATATCAGAATTGGCCTTCGTTCTGTAAAACTATATTTTGCTCGGTTTGGGACTAGCATTTCACGTGTGTTTTCGTTCTCTCAAGATCATATTTTAGAAGCTTGAGAGCTTCCTAATTAAGTTGAGGAACCAGAGGAATGTGTATGCAATAAAATAAGAAAATATTTGGTTATAATAAAAATAAAGGCACGCTTTAATTGTTTTTTTTCGAAAAATATTAAATTTATTTTTCAAAAAAGCCTTTTACATCAAATATGTACTTTTCATATAAGACTATTATTCCTTATACAAGGATCCAGAAAATTCATAATAAAACTAACTAGAGCTTGACCCGCACATTCGTGCGGGTTTATTTTTACATTTTTACAAATATATATATTTATTTTATATATAATAATATATAATTTTAAAATATATAAATGTATTAAATTCTTGTTTAATATGACATTTTTAAGTATTAATGATAACTGAAATCAGTATTTAAAAACGTTGACTATATGCTATTAAATGGTCTAACGTGATTGAATATGTAAATTATAGTTATTATGCACTTCTAATATTTTCATATTTAAACTTCTATATTTTTAGAGAAAAGAAATCAATAGCATAAACTGTTATATGAGAAAATCTATGGGATATCCAGAAAGGATTTTGTTTTTAAAATTAATAAAAAATTTAAGAAATGTATTAAATTAACTGAAAAAGACAACATTACTAAAATTTAGGAATATTAATAAATATAATGGTATTGTTGTGTAAATAACTTGAAAAACTAAGGGATATATTTTATTAGTACTTCTGTTTTAATAAGATAGATTATATGCTAGTTCCAAACCAAAATTCAAGGCCACTATCCCAGTTTTTCCTTCTTTTCGTACTGATCAAACTTATTTTATTTTTTATCCCTTTATTAACAAGCTTCTTCAACATCAATATAGGAATAGGATTCTCACCATGTTTCCTTCTGTTACTTTCCCTCCATAATGCATAAATTACAGTTTGGAAAACATACTTTACACAAAAGGAACTCAATTTCCCCATAACACTTCCAGAAAGCAGCGACATAATAGCAGACCAAAGATTAGAGTAAAAGATTTGCAGGATACCAAGTGTGAGATGTTCCCATAGCTGTGAAGAGTAGGTACATTCGAAGAATAAATGATTCCTAGTCTCCACAGCATTATTGCAAAGCACACAAGTTGTATCTGCACCCAAACTCCAATTTTTAACTCTATCCATGGAAGACAATCTGTCCAGCATTGCTAACCAGGTTATAAAAGCATACTTTGGTGTCGCCATAGAAAACCAGACACCCCGAGCCCACATACATTGAGCATAAGTCTCCCGGAGAAGTTACCAAGTCTTGAGAATTTACTCCTGAAGCTAGATTTCCATCTCCATAAACTTTCATCTTCCACATTATGTCTCATCTTTTCTTTAATAACAATCAGCTCAGCTTCTAACTCATTAAGAACCATATTTTTATGCTTTCTTCGCCGCCTATCATTCAGAACAGCATCCTCATTAGTATCTTATTTCCTTATACATATCAATAAATCATTCTTTCTCACCTAAAAGATCAATAAGCACACCCTTATCAGATCAATTGTCGTACCAAAAAGAAATGTGACGACTATTTCCCACCTCCTTTTTATAGAAAGTCTTAGCAACATCTCTCATCTTCAACATCTTTCTCCACATCCACGAACCAGCTTGAGTTTTGGTTTTTATTTCCCAAAAACTCATTTTCTTAAGACGATAAACCTTTATCTATTTACCCCAGATCGAGTCTTCCGACAACATCCTCTAAATAAGCCAATAAACCGTATTCACTTCTTTCATATGTCTGATCCTCAGACCACTTTCATTTTTAGCTTACTAACATCCCTCCAGGCTCCATGCAACCTTAGCTCCAGTAGACTTTAGAGCAGGTCCAGACCATAGATAAGAAGTACAAAATTGCTCTATTTTCTTTATACACATATTTGGGAGTCTAAACGTAGCGGCCCAGAAGCTTATAAAACTCATCAATACCGCTTTGATCAACTGCAGCCTCCCAAAATAAGAAAGAAATCTACTCTTCCAGGTGTTTATCTTGCCACGCGCTTTAATTGTTGTGTATGCAAATATTATGTATAAAGAAGTGGAAACTAAAATCTATTTTTGGCATTCTTGAAAGCTTCAGTCTCACGTATCTCCTAAGGAAACGGACAATTTTTTGCAAGAGACCAGCTCGGGAATTTGCTATTTGATTTGATTGTCACGTGTCCAAAGTTGTTGACTGGTTAATTAAACCGGTGGATAACTGATTTTGTTTACGTTTGTAACACCGGTTATCTCGGGTTCAAAGCTTGGAGGAAAGTTATCAATAAATACATCACTGCTAAGGTTCACTACTCAAATTTATACATTTCAATAGACCAAAGGGATGAGCTCAATCTCTTTGACCGGGCCAATTTAAATAACACCAATACCGGGTCGTGTTAAGTATTTAAAGGAGGGACAAGAACAGATGATCTCTCTAAGCAAAATAGAAAAATGGGTGTACTTGAAAACCTCTGGGACGACGTCGTGGCTGGTCCTCAACCTGAAGCCCGTAGCCGTGGCCATCTCAGGCGAATCTCCACCGGTTTAACTAGCCTGAACAATACCAAAGGTTAATTGAAACATTTAAGATTTGAGTATGATATTACGATGTTTTATAATTTTTTATGGTTTCAACACATACATAAATAACTATTTATGTATATTGGTTCTTAAAAGGAATGATGGCGGGCGGATCGGCGTCTTTACCGGCGAGTCCGGGTACTCCGGTCACACCGAACTCTGGCCGGAAAGTGGACGTGTGGAGAAGTGTGTTTCATCCGGCAAGTAATGTGACCACAAGGGAGATTGGTGCTAATGTCTTTGATAAACCTTCTCATCCTAATTCTCCCACGGTTTATGACTGGTACGTAAATATAGTAACACTTCTTTATAATTAAAATTCAAGTTGTAAATGATCGTGGTTTCTTTGTACGATCAAAGAATTAACATTACAATCTTTGGTAGATATTCCAGTATACGGTTGGTTTCGGTTTGAATGCTTACAAACATCACATACTTGTGGACCTTGTGGTTGTTATGTTGTTGCATGACAGGATGTACAGCAGCGAAACCAGGAGCAAGCACCGTTGAAGCTTGCCGTTATCAACGGATCGTCAAATTAAAATAAGTCAACACTCATAAAATTAAGTGGCTACTATTATTTCAAGATGATTAATAATCAATTGAGTTGGGCGTAAGATTGGTGTTTAAATAAATTGTTAAAGCTTTTGAGTTTTTTTTTCTTTTTTTTTTTTGGCATTGTTGCCTCAACATAAAAATCAAAACACAATATGTCAAGCCAATAAATGACGTTTTTACTTTTTACAAGCATATTCGACATGGATTATAATATAATACAAAACATCTTTTTATCATGTTTATATTTTCTAAATTTGATGATACAAAAAGGTCTCACATGTTATCTAATCTGCCAAGTTTAAATTTTTCTGTATAACATCCAGAATATTGTGGATATAATCTGATAAAAACCAACAATAAATATCCTCGGACTCTAGGTAGTTGAACTGTGGTAAGATAAAGGTGTATGTTTACAGCTTGGTCTGGTCTTGGGAATGGAATTCCCGATTATTGCAAGCATCTGAAATAGAATAATGTAGAGGAAACTGAAAGCTGCTCAGACCACTCTCCACAAAGAATTTAATAAGAGGAACCAAACAGCAAACCAAAAACTTGAAAGTAACCTACTACCTTCACAAGCCTTTGTTTTTAGGTAGACAGACTTTTGACCAAGAAACTTTTTCGACAGAATGTCTTTTCAGTGTCTCCAGACAACAAGAATCATGCACACAACAAAATCTTCTTGATACAACCCTTTGGTTTCATTAAAATAATTGTCCTCAAGATAACAGCGACTATACTCTTCCCTCATAAGAAAGCGGGACCATACTGACCATGATTTAAACCGTCCCACAATTTTGTCAAGAACTGGGGCATCTGCACTAATTCTCACAGACCTAAGTAGCCAATGGAAAGTAACCAATTGGGAAGTTGAATCTCTTTCATTTGCTTTTGGATTATATTGGGTTTCCTAGAAAAATAGAATTCACTGAAGGCTAATAATATTATATGCCATCTTTTTACAATAAACTCAAATCTCGAAAATTCTAATTTAGAAAGAATAGTGACATAACAAAAGAATGGTAAGTTAACGCTAAATTAACTAGAAACACAAAACTTAGCCGCCAGAATTCTACAAAGTGTAGATTTAAAGTCATCCACATTAGTGTCTCTACAAGGAGTTACTTGCAACTTAGAACACAGAACCAAGACTGTGTAAGGGTCCAGACTTTTGAGAATCTCCGGATCCCTGTTATAATCCTAGCTTCCCCCACACACAAAAGAAAAGCAAAATGAGATTAGATTCATGTCTCTGTGGACTTGAAATTAACGTCCGCCAAGGAAAAACAAGAAAGAGAAGCCTGTCTTCACCTTTTCAGTTACCACAATAATAGGCTTGGGAACAGATTTGCTCTCTAGTCTCTTTGCTCTCCTTCTCATAGTTTCAACATCCTGCACATATCAATATGATCTTGATTACTGCCAATATGATTGAGTAAATGGTATTATCCACTTTCTGGCAGATTAAAAGCATTGTACCTGTGCTTCAAATAAATAATGATCACTGAAATCAAGTCTATCAACATAACGTGCTCCAATCTGTCAAGCCCATTAGTTAGCATATACAATAACTGAATCTTTGTACCATAATAGTCACAAAACAACTCTCACCATCCCAATGCTCTTGACAAATGCGTCAGCTGATCCAATTGCGGAAACACATAGCACAGTTGCATCATGCAATGCTGCTAAAGCTACAGGTGACCTATCATTTTTAACATCAAACAAGTGCTTAGGCACCATCTTGGAGTAGAAAACAGGGATTGAGTCTTTGAATCCATGTATCGTCTTCTCAATATCTCCGAGGCTTTGTTCAGTTATCTGCATGACAAAGCCACTAACCTTAACGGTCATCATCATATAGAAAGGAAACAATTTACGGAAACGTTACCAAGTCCATGTGGTGTATTACAGCTACATCTGCACGCTCAAACGCTGCAAGAGGCTCCCGTAAAGGTCCAAGGGGAACTAAGTTACCATTTCCCCACGGATTCATCCCGTTAAGCATCACAATCTCGAGGTCACGACACAAACTCCAATGCTATTACCAAAACAATAGAGTTAAGTCGAAGTTAAAGATCTCATATGTACGCCATAAAGCTATAGAACATACCTGCATCCCGTCATCTAGAACGACAGACCCAATTTCTTGAGAAAAGGTCGTGACTTTTGCTGTTTTATGGAGTAAGGACATTATAGTAGATGGGTTTGCACAGCCATACTTTTCAAAACACGTGGCAGCAATAGCTGCTCTGTTTGGTCCAACACCGATCTTTGTGGGTCCACCTTGGAGATGTCTTTCAAGCATTCTGGCTTCATCTCCACCAGCATAACCACGAGTTAGAATAAGCGGTGAGATTCCAGAATCGAGGAGCAGTCGTGTGATGTACTCAACCATTGGCGTCTTCCCATTACCTCCCCAGCTCAGATTCCCTACGCTGATCACCGGAACCGGCAACCTTTCACCCAACCACCAAATTTTATTACACAACCGGATGTGAATCACCGGCACAAAAAAAAAAACTCGTTTTGATTGGTCGGGACTCACCGGTTTTGATGGAAGAAGGAGGAGCGGTAAAGAGAGCGGCGGATATGCAGGGAGACTCCGTAGAGAGAAGACGCGAAGGTGAGAAAGGGAACAAGTGAGCGATGAAGTGCAGGCGAATTAGTGTGGTCTCGCGTGTAGGCTATCTCCTTCACCACCTTCCGTAGCTTCTCCATTGCTAATAATCTTAAAACCGAGGCTGTTTCAGCGGCGGCTTCTTGGACCAAGACTATATGAAGTCGGTTCAACCGTTTTTCAATTTGAATTCAGTCTCCCGGTTTACCAAGATAATTTTCGGCTTTTCACTACTTGTAATAAAAAGGAAAAGAAAATGGCACTGGCAAAGAATAGACAAAATTGTACACTAGTGACCTCATGGTTTAGATATAGAGTGATCAGGTGAAATATACCCATTAGAGATCCATATTAGCCAAATGCCAATGAAAATAGATAAAGGTGAAAGGAATATTTTCTTAAATTTGAAAAGGATGAAATTACCTCTACTTTTTCACTTTGGTAAATGTGTATATTAGACTGCAGGATACATAGATTTGGTGGGAAGTTGTTCTAAGGAGTAGATCTTGTGGTAAAGACGTTGCAGGCGACAGTCCGTTAGGTAAAGAAGAGTTCCGAATTTCTTATGTAGTAATTAGTTGATAAAGTTATCATAACTCGTTAGATGATACGTTTGACCAAAAAAAAAAAACTCGTTAGATGATACATAATTTCTTATTTAATACTTAATTTGTTAACGGATACACATATGATTGATAGCTTGTTAATTGATATATTGTTCTACTACAAGAAAATGTGGGCTTAACGACCACATGTTGCGACTACAAAACTGTGGTCGTAACGTTACGTCTACATTATGACTAGATAACAACATAAAATTTAGTCATCGTAAAGTGGTCGTAAAATTGGGACCATGACTTTTGGTCGTAAATAGAAGGTAAAGTAACCTCCGTGTTACGATTAAATGAAAATGTGGTTGTAAAAAAGTGGTTATCCGACAACAATTTTACGACTAAACTTTTAACATCTCATTTACGTCTGCTTTACGTCAAACAGTAGTTAATTCGTAGTAAAATGATATCTGGTAGTAAATTTGTGGTAACATTTCATGTCAAAATTTTCCTATAAATATGGTCTCATCTCTCATTTTTTTAAATACACTAAAAAAACGAAACAAGTTTGAGTAAAGAAATGTAACGAGATATTTATGAGCTTCGGAGTTGGATGTATGCACATAAAGATTCTGAGGGAAGGGTGACAAACGAGTTCCTCAACGAGGTACACAGGAAACGGGTAAAATATTTTGTCCCTGTTGTAAGTGCAAGAATACCAAATTCGCTCTTAGTGAAACAGTTTGGAAACGTATAGTGAATAGAGGATTTACTTCACATTACTACATTTGGTTTCATTATGGAGAAGGTGATAGTAGAAATGAAGCTAGTAGTAGTAATCAGTTTGAAAATGTTCGTAATAGAGAACAACATTTGCCTTCGGAAAGTTACCTTCAGGAGAATCAGGTGGTAGATCATGATAGGATGCATGATATGGTTACTGATGCATTTTGTGAAACAAACTCAGTAATTACTGCAGAAGTAGCAGAAAATGTAGAGGTTGTAGCAGTAAAAATGTAGAGGACCCTAATTTGGAAGCCAAAAGATTTTATGACATGTTAGTCGCCGCAAATCAGCCATTACTGACGACCCGAAGGCTAGCCTCAAGAGAAGCGACATGGTTTTCCAACCTTTTAGTCGATGTCAATTGAGCAACAGTGGTACGCTCCCAATCCTGCGCCATCTTCAAGTTAAGCTTCAACTCTCGAACGACCTTCTTGACCTCGTAAAGCTCGTTGGCTCGGTGGATATCCCGCAGGTGCTTTTCCAAGGTCGCCGTGAACTCGTTGTTTGCTTCCATAGCCTAAACATGCATCAGAAATACGCACAACAATAAGGTAAGTATCAAAGATCAAAAGACCAGACCAACCAACCTTAGCATGTGCAACCACCATTATTACATAGGCATCGTGTTCAGTCATGTTCCGCAACGAAGGAAGAGGACACCCCGCCAGCTTGAAATGCCTGGCCAAATGAGCGACACTATCAGTATCATCCGTGATTGGACAATCATTGGCATGGAAAAATTGCCAGTAAAACGGCTTCGTGACCACGCTTTCGCTCGCGGGGCCGGGTCGAGCATCATTCCCCGAAATTTTCACCTTCTTCGGAGGACGATCGCGCCCCTCCAAGCTATTCGGACTACCAGAACTCAAAAGATTTGCGGTCTTCGGCTCATCCGAATCTTTGGTTTCGGATCGAGCAGTGACACGAGGAAGTCGAGGCTCCTCGCGAAGAACCTCAGTGAGTGCTTCACTCACATCACCAGAACAAATCCACCCCGCTCCGTTGTTCCAATTGTGAATTCTTTCGGACTCACGTGAATTAATTTTTCTTGATGTAATGATCAATGATAGAAGGAAAAAGACTCTCAAGTATATGAAGATAGGAAGAACAAACTCGATATATATAAAAGCAGAGCGAAACAAATATTACCAACTAAAAAGGGAATAAAATCTTGAAAGTTCAGATATCATAGATCCGTGATTATCAGTAGAACAAGTTTTTTTTTAAAAAAAACGAGAGAGAAAAGATAAACGAAACAGAAAATATCCGATATAAAATAAAAGAGATAGGCCTAAGAATCAACTCCATCCTTGGAAGAAGATTCGGCAACAACCGAATCGCCAGAAACCTCGGGGAAATCCAAACCCAAGATAGACCAATCCTCAACGCCAGCCAGCTCGACCAGGCCTTCACAGTCCTTCTCCATCTCCTTGAGACGATCTAACTCATCGTCGACGACCAGTCCACCATCCTTGATCTCATTTAGCAGGTCGATGTTCGCGATCACCTCCCTCAACTGGATCTCCGCGTCGATCTCCTTCTTCTTGTCCAGCCACTTCTTCTAAGACCCAGGACCTCCTTACAGCGATCGGCGATCTCATGACGCATGGCACGAGACTCGCGACGGATGTCCCGCTCTCTCTCCGCAAGAAACTCTGTGACCATCGCCTTTTGCTTGGCGACCTCGGTCTCAAATACCATTCTTTCTTCGCGAGCCTTCCTCCACTCATTCTTCAAGTATGCAGCTTCTCCAGTCTTCTTCTTGAGATCTTCCTTAACTTTACGGGGAGATTCTCTGAGACTCTCTTCAGCTCGTGACCTAGCCAGATCCCTCTCGCCGCGACCCTCAAACATTGCGAAGAACTCATCGACAGCAACCATAACCTACAAGGTACTAGATACATCAGAACAATATTTCTAAAGAATACTACAAGGAAAAATATAACTAACCTTGGAGTTGGCATCCACGATCTTGGCATATGCCTCCCTTTCCTCAAGAGAAGCCGTAGGTAGAACAGAAGGACTCGGAGCCGATGTACCGCAGCGTCGAAGCGATAACCGTCGACACTTACTGTCATCGATAGCAGTGTCCTCTGAACTAGGACTCAGAGAGATCGGGGATCCCCCCGAAGTCCCCTCGACGTCAGAAAATGTAATTGGGATCAAAGTCGAATTATCGAGATCTCTGTTCTCTGTGACACGACTCCGGTTCCTGAAAGATGACCTCCTAACACCAACTGCCTATCCAATCTGGCAGAAGAAGGAGGATCGCTAGAGGGACCCGCGACATCCTTGAGTTTGATCGTGCGGCTGGTAATAGCCGGTGCTCGATCGGTTTCTTCCGGAAGCAAGAAGGCGGTGCGGATGCATTCGCCATCGAAGGATGACCAATCCGGCCGATCTTGTTTTAACATCTTCAACAGACAGCGGAGCTCGTCTGTCATCGGAGAGTTCCCAGAATGCACTAGAAAACCATAAAACGACTATGGGAGTCGGAGATTAAAGGAAAAAAAGGGTGCATGTGGTAAAAGAATCATAACCGACCTATATCAAAATACCAAAGTCGAGGAATCCTCTCGAAGTCGAAATCACCCAGTAATGAATGATCGACCTTGAAGACGAAAAAATTCTCTCGCCAAACTTGATCACGGTATGGAACCCCCTGGATAACATGGCGTCCTACACGCAGTGACATCAGGAAAGTCTGATTGTTCCTCTTCAACAAGCACAAGTGGCATAGCTCCCCTAAACCAAACCGCAGACCCCCCTTGCGAGCTCTAACCACGAGCGCAAGAGATGCCTCAAGAAGCTTTTGCACATCTGAGTAAGAGATATACCCAATTCAGCCGCGATTTCAAGGATTGGGCCAGGAATCAGGAAGAAAAGACTGCAAGACTCAAAGAATGTGAGATACGCTCCGCAAAAACCCTCACGAACAGTTTCGGGGGTCTCAAGCGTGGTGGCTAGTTCGAGGTTGACGCTTTGATGGACACCACAAGTCGAATATAAAGTTTGGAGATCTTCAGCAGTGGTCGCCGGAAGGGGGAAAGTGAATGTCGCATCCATCTTTTCTTGAAGAAAGAAGATCACATAAGCAAGAAATTCGGAGAAGAAAAAGTTAGGAGAGAAAGAAAAATCTTTCATATTTATAAGGAAATTCGCCAAGACCGATAAACGGCTCTATCATTAACGAGGAGATAATGATTAGGTTTTGCATCGAAAACGGCACAAGTACCCGTTAGAGACACACACCAACGGTTCACCGACAGGGAAAGGACATGTGTCGAGTTTCTGTGTCACGGAAACTAAACCGTCTTTTATCAATTGAGTCCGAGCAAGCCATCTTAATCTTCTAACAAAAGAATAAGATTGGGGGACAAATGTTGGATCCAATTTCAGTACCTATCTGAGTAGGCACAAGCCCATCTAAAATTATCATCAACTCGACATCGAACCGGACTCTACGAGGTCGAGATGAGATCTCAGAGATCGCGGAAACAGTTAGAGGAGGAGAGGACTATAAAAGGAAGCTAGAATGGAGTGCAAAAGACATGGAAAAAAACCTAGAGCTATTCACTAATCACATCGACCTCACTCTATAGATTTCTAGTTCACTTCTTGCTTTTACTTTTCGTTATTGTTTCTGATCTTGTTCATCATCTTGTATACGAATTCCATATTCAATAAAAGTCCATTTTTGTCAACCGAATTTTGATTGTATCGTTGTGTTTAAGAGCATCGTTGCCCACATCTTTTGTCTTCCC